TTGCATGAACTGGAATAACTTGTGTTTTAAAGCAATCTGAAAGTTAGATTTTGAGACCAGAGGGAGACAGCACTGTATGGACTTGAAAGGAAAGTTCAAAGTAGTTGTCAGTAGCATACTTAAGACACATTATAGACCTCTGCACTTACAGCTGTGGTAAGATCTGTCAGCATCTCTATTATGCTGCATAAACACCTGTGTAAAATCCTGTAAGTTTTAGAATTTCCCTAATGACCTAATCTTTCTTTTTTTGTACACACAGCTAATTCTCTGGCCTAAATATTTAGGGTTGCATTTAGTCAGTATGAAGATTTCTAATGTCAGAGATGTGATTCACTTATCTAAGCATCTAGTGCCTATAAGCATCTAGTGCCATTTTAGACATTCTTGGAGGACAGGTTGGTTATCCTGGATATCTTTGGCATCTGTGGAACATCTTCCAGCACTGTGTGGATATCTCAAATACATAGTGGCATCTCAAATGTTACTAGATTCCTAGACTTAGGTGACTGGATTGTGCTCCAGGTTTTTGTTTGCAGGTGTCTACACGTGATTTAGGTTCTAAACTCCCAGAGTTGAAGGGAGATTTAATTTTCTGGGTCACAAATTGATATCTAGTGACATTAGAGGTTTTTCTAGAGTGTCTTACTTAGCCTCCACCTACTCTACGGAAGGATACAGAAATGATGTGTCATATCTACTTAGTCTGAGACTGTGGATATCTCCGATACCAAATGTCTCAATAGACAATCTCAAATGGCTTCAGATGTTTTTAAATGAAAAGAAACAAACTTCCAAAAAAAAAAAAAAAAAGCGTCAGTTACAATGAGATTTTAGATGCATTGTGCACATGGACAAATGAAATGCAGATGTCTGAATATTAGACTGAATCCCACATGTGCTATTTCACATCTTGATTACAAGCAGTGACTTCTGGCTCCTCTGCTCATCACTCCTTTCTAAATCCATTAAGAAATGCTATTGAGACTTGTAATTCTTACTTTGCTTAATCTTGCGGTTTTTTTGTAGTACCCTTGACACTGGCAAAATACTGTATATGTCATGGACAGTCCTTACTATCATGTTACCAATAGACCAGCATCCATGTAGAATATGGAAACTGGAAGAGGGAATATTTAGATTACATGTCAGGAAGAAATTCTTCAGCATGAGGGTGATGAGGCAGTGCCACAGGTTGCCCAGAGAAGCTGTGGATGCCCCATCCCTGGAAGTGTTCAAGGCCAGGTTGGATGAGGCTTTGAGCAACCTGGTCTGGTGGAAGATGTCCCTGCCCATGGCAAGGGGATTGGAACTAGATGATGTTTAAGGTCCCTTCCAACCAAACCATTCCATGATTCTATGAATAGAAATTAGTTACCTTTTCAATGCATAGTCCATGTGTGTGTCTTCACTTGGCATGACCAGTGCATGTGTGTGACTGCACCTGGGGAATCATGTTGAGTTTTGAGCTCTCCAGTAGAAGAATTTGATTGAGATATCACACAAAGCTGGTGGAGGCCGCCAAGATGATTAAGTGGCTGTAGCATATGATGTGTCAGAAGGGGTGGAGAGGTTGGTTTATTCAGCTGCAAGAAGAAAAGGGAAAGGGAAGAAACTGATTATTGCTGTCTACTAATATTTAATGGGAGTGTATAAAGAGGAAGGAGCCAAGATCTTCTTACAGGTGCAAAATGGAAAGTCAAAGGGAACAAATTGTAATAAAAGAAATTCCGATTAGTTATTAAGGGGAAAAAAAATCACCGTGACAGAGGATAAACATTACAACAGATCATCTGGAGAAATTTTTGGATCTTTGTTTTTGGAGATATTCAGAATGTAGCTGGAAAAGGCCCTGCAGTTGAAGTTTGCCCTGCTTTGAGTGATGGAGTGGGAGGACTTTCAGAGGACCTTCCCAACTTTAATCTTTCTCTGGCTGTATGTAGACATCCACATTTAGATGCCTCTATTTTGATGCCTATATTTCGACATTTTAGTCTTGAGCTGAATCTTCCAAGATAATTCTCAGCAGTCATCCTTATTACAAAGTTAGTTTCAGCAGTAGCTAAAAAGAAAGCTTTTAATGCCCTTAAACTGGTTCAGCAACAGCCATTCTCCAGTACAGGCTTCTGACTTAGACCAAACAGGGTCCACTGGAAAAATAGACAGTGCAAAAGTAGATGTTTGTGTCCAAATAACACCATGAGTGAAACTCTGGTTCCCAGCCACACCTTTGATAATGCAGTCTGGAATTTCAAAATAGTCTTCATTCACCCTCTCAGATATGTTTCTTCCTTCCATTTCTTTAGTGATCATTTACCATGACTGAGCAGGGTCTGTATATGTGGAGAGCTGGAAATCATCACCAAAACATATGTTGTTCATTTTGGTATTATCCCTCACCTCTCTGTCTCCCAACATATTTTCTATGACCCACCCATGGTAGTCTGTTCCATCTCATGACAGATTCTCTCTTGCTTCTGGGAGAACATCAGAATTTTTCCCACCTATCTCACAGAAAATGGAAGCTTTCCAGTAGCAGAGCTAAAGGAGTAATGGGCCAACTTCCCTCCATTTGAAAGATGTCGTTGTAGGGTAGTTTTTATCAGACGTCATCCTAGATAAAATGGATTGGATTTTCATTCTGGCAGTCAGCATAGTCAGAATTTCTTCTAAATTTTGTGATCCTAGCTATATTAAATTATGTATCTGAGATGAAGGAGTCAAAATCATCCACTTGGCAGCAACTGCCATCTGTCATCTTCTTTAGTATAATATTTGCTTCTTATAGAGTGTCATTAATGTTTCCTCTGCCATGTTAAGGATATTATGCCATTTTGTGACCTAATTTGGTTCTGCTGTACTTAAAGCAAACACTCTGTCACAGTTCATGGTAGTGTATTATTATACCCATTGGGGAAAAAAAAAATCTTTCCATAGCAGGTGTCATATCTTCTATAAGTATAAAAATCACCTCTTGTGGCCGATTCTCTATATTTAATTTTTTCCTTCTAAGTCTGTGACTGTTGCAGGAGGTGACTGAGCCAGGAGATAAATTTGATTTAGTTCCTAGACCTTACTTCTCCAAGGCTGCAAAATGTGCACAAGTTGGATGCCAAATGCAATCTGTATTTTTATATTTCAGAAATAACATTTTCAGACTCTTGCCAAGGTCCCTTCCCCTCTCTATGCGCAGAGAATGGCAAAGTTATGAATATCCCTGTATAGGAACTTTTGGAAATAGATATATTGCATTGGAAGCTGGTATGAGAAACGTTAAGTGGAACCCACTTTTCAACAGTATATTCTACAGAGTTTTAACTACATTGCTTTGCTTGCTAACAGATGCCTGTACAGTATTTGCTTGAAGAATTCCAAGATTCAGCTGTAGCTAACTATGACTGTGTGAGATCCTGGTTGTAGTCTTATGCTGTCTTACACATACTTACAGATGATCATTTGATGGCAGAAGCAGTTATTTATCAGTCATGAGGGTTCTTCAAGATGCATAATCCACCTATACACTCACATCCTCTCACTCCCCTACATCACAGTTTTGACTTTGTCTTACAAATGTTGGTATTTCATATTTAAAAAAAAAAAAAAGAAAAAGAAAAAAAGGAAGGCCTGGAGCATCATCCAAGCAGTGTGAGCAGCTCTGAAGTGGAGTTCTACCATTAGTCAAATAAATACAATCTGCAACAAACATTGCAGTTTGTTTCATGTTGTGACAACCACTGGTAGTACTGGCTCTGCTGCAACTGAGGACTCTTCAAACAATGTACTCTACTTTAACCACAAAAGAGGCTGAAGATGCTGTCAAAGAGAAAAAAGCATATAGGCTAGAAACATTTTGGTAGGACATAATCAGTTCTATGAAAACTTGAATGGACTGTTTCTTTAGTGCATATCCCTATTTTAAATCCCAATTTGTCAGAAGACTTCTCATCACCAGTTATTCACTTCAGCTAAAGACAGAAGAACAGCAGTAACTGGTTCAGTGTTGATGAATGCTCTTAATCTTTCTAAAAATGCTGACTCTGAATGCTTCTGAACAGACGTGAATTTCAACAAGAAGAGTAAGGACTTTAGTCAGGCTGGCACACAAATTTTTCTAGGTTTCTGTCCTCTGAGACACCATACATTATAGAAAGGAATGAAAGGACAAGTTGCACTGGTAACTGAGATGTGATTAGAATAGTCTAACTGAGTCTTTTAGATTCTGAAAAAATACAGAAAGAAAAATGAACATTTTAGTGCTGTATTATAAATTAATTTTGTATGTCTATTCTATGACAGTTTTATCAGCTAAGTTTTGCTTAGCTTTTCCAGTCGTTAGAATACCAGAAAGAAAGAAAAAAAAGAAATCATTATTATTAAACCCCTGAGGCCAAGGATATCAGTTTCATTCCCTGAATAACAGTTTTATAGAATATGTTCATAAAAATTATATTATTGTAAAAGTTTGAAGTAATGATATGACATATTTTTACTTGTATACCCTCCCCACAAAATAGAAAATGAAACAAAGTTGTGCTGAAAGGTACTATACATTATGATGTGGTTAGTCAGTAGCTCCCTGTCAGCTGGCAGTTCTGATTATTTCTTCCCTGATACTAGAATCTTCATTCTTTCTGGTTTTCTCTACCTCAGTGTCTCACCTATTCTTTGCAGCCCGTGTTTTACAATTGTCTTCTTGGTCTTTAGAAAGTATGTGTGTGAGTATTAATGTGTCATGATCTGAATCTTTGATAATAATTCAGCGTGTCCCATAAGATACAGGTGTTGACCTGTCTGTTCTTCATTGCACATCACGAACATTGCGTTTAGCATTCTGTAACATCTAATGAAAACAAAAGTAGTCCCATTCCTAGTTTTAGACAGTTCAATATTACTATAGATCTTGATAGGCTTAATAGGGCTGGGAAAACCAGTAATTTTGATTCAATAAATAACTATTCTTAATATTTATAAATATTTATTGTTTTTTAGTAATCAATAGCTCATAGTTACATAGCCAGTCATTTATTCAAACTGATCATCTGTTCTTTTTGTATGTTCTTTTTATTAGTCACTGGGAAGGTGGAATAATTTTTTCCTTTGCTCCCCTGTTAATGATTCTATACTTCTTATATAATGGCATTGTTGTTGTTAAATATTTTCAGAAGGAAACAACTTCTTGAAAAATATTATTGAAATATCCTTTGCCTTCAAGGGCAAACACATGATATTGTTGTATTGTTTTGCTTTACATTCTTTCAGCAAAGTAAGGCTTCGTTACAATGTGCATTTAAAAAGGCATATTTATCTTATACTGGACATAATTTTTATATTGTCATTTCTTCATAGTCCCTTATTATATTATCTTCTGTTGTCTTTCTAACCAAAGAGACACATACTGCTGTCCTATGACTTGTCAGTGGAGTCTATTAATGATCCTTTTCGAAGACAGAGGTTAATGAGTGCAGCCACTGTTATTACAGATAATTTGCGTAAGTCATTCTTTAGTATTTTTCCTGTGGTGGTTGGGTAACTTGACCTAAGAGATCGGAATGTCACAAACAGTCAGCATTATTTTGAAAGTCACCAAGGGGAAATTATGCTGCAACCAAATGTAAATTTCAGTAGAGGGCCACCAAGTCAGGGACTGGAGCACTTTCCCAGCGCTGGGCTCATTCAACCCGGAGAGAAGATTTGAGAGGAAGTTAATATCAGCCTTTCAGTGTGTAGGAAGACATTATGAAGAAGATGGAGCCGGGCTCTTCACAGTGGTGCACAGTGGGAAGATGAGACAACAGACGTAAATTGAAAGAAGAGAGCTTTAAACTGTGTGTAAGGAGAAGCTTTCACTGTGAGAACAGTCAGACAGAGGAACAGGTTATGCAGTCTCTGACCTCATGGCTGACCCTGCTTTGAGAAGAGAGATCTCCTGAGGTCCCTTCCAACTTGACTTGTCTTATAAACCTATCCTCAAGGACACCAAGATATGGGGGATGCCCTTCATTTTATCCTGGACATTTTTCAACCCATGCTGCATCTGTGGCGGCACAGATGCAACTCACAGAAAACATGTTGTCAGTTTCCCAGAGACATTTAAGGTATTTCTCTTTAATGTAGGTCCTAGATCATACTTCAATAGTAATAAACATATAAAGAGGTGGATAATATCACCTGTTTGTGTAATGATGAGATTTGTTGATGGTGACCTTTAAGTAGCCTGTGATTAGTTTGTGTAGAACGAGTGAAGCAATTTTTTCAATAATGCCATTCTATTCACACAAGGTTGATTTTTCTTTTCAGTCTTTTCTATGACTGATTGTCTTTTTCTTCGTATTAGGATATTCCACATAAGATTATTTATATGTCAATTTCCCTCTGTCATTTAGAAGAGCAAGAGTCAAAACTGAAATGCCCTTCATTATGGAAACGTGTTGCTCAAAAGTATCTAATTTGGAATTGTTGTCCATTGTGGAGAGTAGTCAAAGAGAAGGTGAAATTGGTAATTTTGGATCCATTTGTTGATCTCTCAATCATGGTTTGCATTATCGTGAATACCTTATTCATGGCTCTGGAGTACCCTGACATGCCTTGCAATTACCAGCGAATGATTTTTGTAAGTGACAAGGTGAGTTAGGTCTATGTTAATGTGAATATGGAATTATAACCCCATATTTGTATTGGAACTGTCTCATAAGGAGTCATAATTTTTCAGTGACTTTTTGATGAATTTATTTTTCCTTTTTCCAGGTCTTCACCCTGATTTTTGCAGCAGAAATGATCTTGAAAATCATCGCTCTAGATCCTTATCACTATTTTCAGCAAAAATGGAATATTTTTGATAGCATAGTTGTTATGATTGGCCTAATAAGCTTTAAAGAAAATCTGTCCTATTTCAGACTGGTAATTATTTCTCCATTCTTTTTTAAAAGTACATGAGTTGTATAGATTTGTAAAAGATTACAGTGAGATACTGTCAAATTATTTTATTGATGAATCTGTTAAATCAGTTCTCTTTGTTAATAAATAATAAGCCAACATGAATGTCTAATTAGAGTGAATATTAAATGAATGCTAAAGAATAGGTGTTAGGTCTGTACAGTGGCACTGCTGAACTACATTTCAGATCTCCAATGAGGAAAAGATATTATCTGAATTTTTTCATGAGTTTAAGGATAGCAAAGGTTCCTTCACAGCTTTTCTTTTTTAAGTTGAGATTTGTAAAATAACATAGCTTTCCTCAAGGATTAGACTTGGCCTTGAGGTCTCCTCAAGGCTTTCCTCCATCTTAGGGAAAAGGAGGAGTAGCTCTGAGGTGTCTCTATATAATGTTACTTTTTTGCTTACATCCTTACTGTGTATTTAGAATCCTAAATTTACTAATTCTAATATTGTTCATAGCTTTCCAGTCATCACACCTAGAAGTTCAGTTGAATTCTATTTCATCTTGTGTGTCATGACTGAGAGATTTTAACAGCCACGAGTGCTAATTTGACTAAAAATGTCCTTTTTACTCCTGAGGGTGCATAGAATAGATTCCATCTGGCTTTTCAGATCCTATTTTAAGTCTGTTGAGTGAGAGGTAGAAAAAATTCTTTTTTCAATTTTTGTCTGATTACATTTGATTTAGTCCAAAATGCAGTCATTTCGTAAGCCTCATCCAAGTACCTATAAGCGGTATGATTATTATTACTGTTATTGCTGTTAATACCAATAGACTTACACATGCTTGTATCTAACTTAGCACAAACAATTTAAAAGTTTCCTCTGGCAGTTCTCCTTTCTCAGTAACATTAACCATCTGAGCTTAAGCACAGTGCTTTTGGATTGGAACAACTAAAAACCTTTCTTTGGGGGAAAAATTATGATGATGTTACTGAAGTAAAGACAGCATGATAAACATAGGTCTGGTTTTTATGTGCTGTGCTATCTATGCAGTGTTCGCCACTCACATTGTTCTCTTGTGTTTTACTTACAGCTCAGGATCTTGAAATTGGCAAAGTCCTGGCCAGCCTTAAATACTCTTATGAAAATAATTCTAAACTCAGTTGGTGCTCTGGGTAACCTCACGTTGGTTTTGATTATCACTGTATTTATTTTTGCTGTAGTGGGAAAACAGGTTTTGGGCAATTATTATGAGAGTAATTACCATAAAATAAATACCAATGAGAATTTACGCTGGCATATGAAGGATTTTTGTCATTCATTCCTGATTATATTCCGAATATTATGTGGAGAATGGATTGAAACCATGTGGGAATGTATGGAAGTGGCTGGAAAAGGGCTATGTCTTCCCATTTTCTTGCTAGTCCTGGTGATAGGAAACCTTGTGGTGAGTTTCCAGCTATTTTTCAGTCCCTACTGAATGCATCCAGTTACACTGGCATCTTTTTTTCTGAGGCGAACTTTGTCATTTGAAGAGTATTCACACAATTCTCTTTTCTGGATGTTAATATATGTTTTTCTTCTGTCTTTTTTTCCTTTTTCGCTGTCTTTTGCTTTCTCACACAAGACATAGCTGCTAAGCAAAATAAAATTATTCCTTCTACCTAGAGTATAGAAATGCAGTGCTTTTGATAATTTAGTGTCTGATTTCTTCATCTTTTGTGTTTCTAGGATCAGGTAACCAAACGATTCAGTGCATTTAATGCTTACCAACTTATCCTTATATTATCAAAAGTTTACCCAGATTTTCTGGTTTGTGTGACATATACTAGATCTAAAGTATATATCTTTTTCATCGGCTTGGTTTATTGGTCTATACCAGATCCTTTTTGATGGTGGTGGTATTAAAATTTATCTTTGCATGCTGTTTTTCAACATATCTACCTCTTCATATGTTAAGGACATCACAGTATGTGAAATATATTTGATATACCCAAACCCTCACTTCCTTCTTTTTTCTCCTGCCATTCCTTCCAGAAGGAACCATATCATACTATATTAATATTCTAGTATAATAGTAAATAATTTCATTGCAGTGGTTGACGAAAGCAAGATTGAGATTTTTTTATCTAAGGAAAGTTTTCTGAAATGTCTTTTCTATTAGCAGTAGAGTCTCCAACTTACTTTAACTATTTTAAGGTGCTCAACCTGTTCATTGCCTTGCTGCTGAGTTCATTCAGTACTGACTCCTCGATGGGACAAGAGGAACCTGGACAAATGACTAAATGTCAGATTGCCATTGCACAGATTCACAAGGGCCTGCAGTCTGTGAAAGACAGAATTTTGGACCATTGTGGCAAAATAATGAAACAAAGCCTTAAAACAACAGCCAAAAAGAAGACTTTGGTGAAAATTTCTGCCAAAAACTTAGATGAAAATAACTATAGCATGACAGATGTCAGAAAGTATATAGACAACAATTGCTTTGACATTGGGTATTACAATACTGAAGAGAATTCCTCAGTAACAAGGAAATATGAAGAATTTTTAACCAGTCGTAGTACCTGTGTTCCCATTGCCGTAGCAGAGATTTACACCGATGAAGGTGATGATGAGCACAGTGTATGCACAGAAATAGAGTACAGAAAACAGGTAAGGAATATTAGTATTTCAAAAATTATTGTAACTTGCATCTGTAAATATAATCTTGAAGACTCAACAGTAAATGTTATCCCTTCTGTCCTTTCTGCCATTTTGCTCTCTTTGTTCTTCTAGTAGCTTCAAAATGCAAGAGCTACCAAATAGTCTTAGTTATTCAATGAAATGTTGAATATCCATTGACATTGATATATTGACGTTGAATATCCCCATTGATAGCCGTAATTCTGCTTTGGTCTGTTTTGTTTCCATTTATTGCTGTCAATTGCTAAATGAAGTATGATCAAGACAGACATTCTTTATTTTTGTCTCTGTTGCCTTACAGATGGCACCTGGAATTTTTGGAAGGCAGGCTTCTTGTGTCGCTTATATATTGCTTCTCAGTTACATGGAACCCGAAGGGAATGCACACAAAAGCTTCACTTAAAAATAATTTCTTAATTTTTTTTAATCCCCTATTCACCTCTGTGATACTTTGGACTCCCCTTTCTATGTCTTGATTTTGTTGTGTTGGGCAGGATTAAGGATTAAGTCTTTCCTCACATGAGTGAAGCATTTATATGGCCATGATAGTCAACTGTGAAATTCATTGGCCTGTACATAGTCATTTAGGGATATCTGAGATACTTCAGGTGTCTCTCACATCCGCATGGGACTGACAAATAATGCACAGGAGCTATAGGAACTCTTTTTGGCATCTGGAGGCCAGGCTATGTAGAAACACCTCAGATGACACTAGGTGTCAGTCACAGTTAGATTACTCCATTTAGATATCTGAATCTCAAGATTCCACATGCTAGTCACCTCACAGACGCCAAGTGCCATTTGAGATGCCAGATTATCTAATATGGCTTCTAAAGGCACCTCCAAAAAGGTGTCTGTCAGTTCCTGTAGATCCTGTGCTATGTTTAACTATGCCATGTCTTCGGTACCCCTAGGTATCTTAAAAGACACTAAGCAGTTTAGGGCAAGCAACTGTATTAAACCCTTTGTGTCCTCACTGCATTCAATAGTGTCCCTTGCTGCATAACCATATTACTTGTGTGTTGCCCACATTTGCACTTCACATTTTCTCCCATTTTGCTTTCTTGATTTTTTCCCTTATTTTTGCTTTCGTTTGTTCTCTCTAATTGTGTTACACTTTTAATAAAATGGAATTTTACCCAATTACTTTCCTTTGAAGGAGGATGATGTGTCTTAATGAAATCCTGTTTGTGACAGCATTGTTACTTTTATTATATGTGATGTGATTGCTTAGAAAGGGTATGAATGCTGGTTTGAGTATGATGATCTGTCTGCATGAATGCATTTTAGTTCAGAATCGTTGGGTCATCCTCAGATTCTTATTCCTGTATAAATATTTTTGCCTGTAGAAGGTAAGATGTAATACCTTTTAGCCCATTGACAGTACTGCAGCTATGTGTGAAACATCCAGTAGTAGTTTCAGCTCAGCTCAGCGAGCAAGAACCTCAAGTTACTTTCTTTTAGAAGCCTGCCTTATTCACAGGCAATAGTAATAAGAAGCAGCAGATTCCAGTATACCTTCCCTGCAATCTTTGGCAGAAGTTGAACCAAAAAAAATATTAACCCTTCTCAGACCTGTGCTAAAGGAAGTACCAATAGAAGCTAGCTTGTACAACAGAAGAATCAGCGGTTTTGCAGGTTCTTCACATAAAGCAAGACAGAAAGCCTCACAGAGAGTAGCTTATGATTTTCATTTAACTCTTTTTATTAATTTCTGTGTATTTCTCCAGCTACCACTTTCAAGTAGGAATGAACTTTTCTAAGATGTTGCAACTGTGCTTTTTTTCTTGATAGGTAAAAGTGATGGTGTAAGCATGTGGCAATATGGGGTTTAGCTCATCTAAAAAACACATCCAAATGTGTGAGCAGCAAGCTCAAGTGGAACACCAGGCTTTGATGACTATGCTGTACCTAGATTAGCTTGTTAAAGATTGTATTTTATGAGTGTCAGTTTTGTTATGATTGTGATATCACCATATTTTAAATCTATCAGAACAGGTATTTGGGCTCAAAGTGCAGTTACCTAGTATTATGCCATGGCAGAAATGTCAAAAGCAGGTGCTATTTTTGGATTGATTATCATACGGTCAGTGTCTAGGTGGACTAGTAAGATCCATTTTCTATGTTTTTGGTCATAAGAGGAATGTCAGTGGAAAATCTTTGGACAAGTTCTCAAAGAAGCATAAATTGCTGATCGCCTTAGAATCATCTGTGGCTCTTTGAAATATGTTGTCCATAAGCATTTGATGACAGAATTTCTTTCCCTGCTGCAGTGGAATCTGGTATTGCTTGGAATTTGTAGTGGGAAAAGGACTGAGAGCTGATTGGGATCACTTAGCTCTTCTGCCTGTAACTAGAAACATAAGACTGTTGGGGTCAGGCTGCAAAGGCTGCTGCAGATCCAGTTCATCAGAACTTAGTGAATTGGATGCAGGAATCCGTCAGTGGGCTAAATGTAGATCTTCAGGAATGATATGTTTCCACAGTATAACTACAGGACCACAGCAACTGAAATTGAGGAAGAAATCATTCTTTTACATGCCTTTTAGGGATATGATTTAATTATCTGTAAAAGGACAAACATGCTAAATTTTGTGGATGATTTAGATTCTGTTAAATAATTTTGGCTTTTAAGAATGAGCATCAGTAAGAAAAATGTGGAAAACCAACTGTTTTGCATTATTTCATGCAGGGAGACAGATTAAGACATAGAGAGCAGTGCCGAAGTTCAAGCAGCTTCAGTCAGATTTCTGGGACTTCTGAAACTCTAAGTGGTTTTTCAGAAACACACCAAAAGAAAGATAAAAAAGAGGTAATTATAACTTTTATCATCTTCTGGAATATGCTAGAGATGAAAATTGTCACAGTGGTTCTCTCATTCAGCAATGACAGGACAAGCTGGGTTTTTCCAGAGTAGGAAGTATAATCCCCGTGAAGATGGTAAATCTCTCTAGATGTAATAATAATTCAAAGCATGGAAGTTTGTTTCTCATAAACAGCCATGGCTAACAGTGTACCTTAATATACTATTTTGTACAAAATAAGTGAATGGAAATTAATCAAGAAACACACTTACTTTAAATATGTCTTATACATACTCTTAATTTTTAAAGATAATTCTGTTTGCTGTCATCCTTGGATGCAAAAATTTGTTCTCTAGAAATGGTTCCCCAAACAACCATACTTTTTCTGGTCTAGAAACTTAGCTTGTTCTAATACAGTACAGTTCCTCATCAAAAAAGGTGAAGAACCATAGCTTGCCTCCAATGACCCAGAAAATTAAATGGGAGTTCAGCAACTTTCTGGATTACTACCTCCAAAAGTCAAACCATTTTAGCATTTTCTGGGTTTAGACAAAGTTGCCAGAAGTTTTGTTTGTTATACATTATTTAATTATATATATAAAAATGTTAAAAATATTAAAATGCCCATGAATTTAAATAATTGCATTTTTGTCTATGTTGAAGATTCTCTAGGACCTTAAGTTAGTGTAGACCAGCATGGCTGTGGACAGAGGCAGTTCTCCCTTCTTCTGACTTCTCGTTCTTACCCCTATACTCATGCCTTCCCTTTCCATGTCATACAGGGCACTTACACTTCATGGCTGATAGATTGCTTTATTCATTTTTCTTCATACTTCTTTTCCTTATTTTCTGTAGTTTTATAAGTGTGTAGGTTACCTACCAACAAGTACAATTCTTTGAGACGCGTAGATCATATGTACATTTCTTTCCTGCTAGGCCTTCCTATCTTCAAGCCTTTTGAGACATATCTCTCTGAAAATGGGAGAGAATTGGATTGGCATGAAGAAATCAGAGTTTTCGTTAAAGTAAAGTTGTAGCATAATACAATGTCTTCTAAATATTTTTCTTCCTCCAATGTAGATGACTAGAAGAAACCAAGAAACTTATTAAATTGAAGCCATGGAAACAAAGAGTAGGGATTAGCCTTTTCTGTCCTATTATTTGTAATTTTATTTTAGTAGTTCAGCAACATTAAGGTAATTTATACACTGCAGATTATTTTGGGGAGGGGGGGAGTGATAAGTTTTATTTATTTTAAATGTGGTAACTTTATTAAAGAAAAGCAAATAAATTATCTTCTTTGTCCTTCTCCTGTGCAGAAATGTGATGCTGGTAGCTATTCTGAAGCCAGCACTGTGGATCCAGTTATTTTTGTGGAGATGTTTTCCCAGCCTAAAAAGTCACACCTACCTAAGGACTGTTTTGCAGAAAGTAAGAATCTTTCATGTATTGCGGTGACAGCAAATGAATCACTATTCAAAGATACCTGGTTGGAACATCTCCAGATTGGCAGAAACATTTTGCCTGAGACACTTCTTTATAAAGATAAAAACTCTAATAAATATACCTTAAGCCAGCACAGAACTGGAACAGGGTTGGGATGCCTGAAGACAGGCATTTAGTGTTATATGAGGTGCCTGAGAGTATGCAAGAAACTCCATGAAGCTGGCAGAACTGTCGCAGAAGCTGTAGAATATCCAAAGAGGCCTAAAATGGTTCTAAACACCTGTGTTTAGGTAGCAAAATGCCATCTTTGGAGTATGATTCAGTCCTACATTGAGGCATCGGACTGTAGGTATCTGTATATGAGCAAAGGCACTCAAAGTACTTCTGAAGGGGCAGCTGGAGGTCAGTTAGGATATGTATGTTGGTACCTGGTGTCTTAAATGGCACTTCAACTGAATTTGTCTCAGCTCCCAGTACCAGGGATGAATATCCAGTCAATACAGCTAATAGAATTCAGAGGACTGTACAGCTCATCCCAATGTGGACACTTACCTTTGATTGTCTGAACAGCTCCTTAGACTCCATTAACTCTCATGCTTCAATCCTACTGCCTTTACAGATTAATGAAGAAGAGTGTTTCTGGTGCAAAACAGTAAACAGAGAATCCAGTTGTAATGTCTCTGCAGTGCAATCAAGTGAAATAGTAAAAATAATTTACTAAAACACTAGTAAGGTAATATCTCTTTTCAAAACAAAAAGAATAAATACAGAAAATAAAATAAGCAAGTTTTTTTAGAAAACTTGCTAGAAACTTGGCTTGTTCTAATACAGTACAGTTCCCTTCTGTAGAAGGGCTTGTGGGCATAAAAGCTTCTCTGCTTTTTCCATGTCTTAGTTGCTCTATTAAAAGAGATTATTTTGGCCTACAAATTTGGTCTTTTCTGTAGCTTTAGATCATTTCAGCCACAGCATCACCCCAGAGGTAAAACAGCACATTCTTTGTATAGTCTGTAGAAGCTCACTTTAAGATGTCTTACACTTTTTAGATTCCATGTCTCCACATTTTCCATGGAACCAATATGCTGTTCTTTCTCTTTCCAGGTTGTGTTGGCTGTTTCCCATGTTGTGTAGTGGATATCACTAAGTTTCCAGGCAGAACTTGGTGGAAATTTAGAAAAACCTGCTACAGAATCGTTAAACATAGCTGGTTTGAAAATTTTGTAATTTTTATGATAATACTGAGCAGCGCAGCACTGGTAAATTTAATTTCTCAAATTTTGAATTGATGGTTGTCAGTAAAGGAAAAGAATCATGTTATTATATTTAATTTATTTCTTCTACTCCCACATTCCTTTCCCAGGGAGACACAAGAGTATAATAAGCATATCCCTTAGAAGTTATAAGGCTCTCCCCAACTTGGATAAGATATTTAAATATATGGAATCACAGTCTTCTTCATAGTTCGTCATGGAACATAATTCTTCACACACTTGTATGCTTAATTAGGAGGCTAAACCAGCATCTGAAATTACTTAGGAAAGATTAACCAAATAAAAGTACTTCTGAATGTGTAAAGCAGACTAACTGCCCTGTAAAAATTTAGATTTAAAATCATCCAAACCTTAAGATGATCAGAATCTAAAAGTTGAAAATGGCTGTAAATTTCCATGGCAAAATCTCCAAGGGAACTCACTGGGATTCCTGTCAGGACTCCTCTGTACTCATGTGGTACCAAACTGAAGGAAAGAAGGAAATGGAATTATTCACTGCATTGTAGGATCTAAGTTGAACACAAAACTCGTTGGTATCCAGATGCAAAATAACAAAACAATAATGATTTCTTTTCATCAAAGATGTATTGTGGTGTTGAGAACTTTCACATTTCTAAGACACTGTTGTCCTCTTGCAAAAAGAGACTTGTCCATTTTCTGTTTGTTTATAAAGTTGTTTGCTGATATGGAATTTACTGAACCAGCTAGAATGAAGGGATACTATACCATCAGGCATGTCCATAGCTTGAAAGTAAATTAAATGAGATGGTGATCATAGAAAGAATGCATAGAAAAGTATGTGGTGAGTGCTCAGTGCTCAGAGTGAAGAGTTAGTACGGTTAGAAGTTTGAAAGAGCATCACTGCTAAAGAATGGGTGGTATGGCTAGGAGATGGAAATCAAGATAGCCAAAATTAAACAGTGAAAAAGACAATGGTAATTATCAAACTTGCTCAGAAAAAAGATAGGAAATGGTAAATAGGTTTATGTACATGAATGCCAGGAGTTCTTAATTACCTACAGTCAAATTAGTAGTCCTGTGGACGCACTGACAGCTCTGCTTTGTAGACATTTCTCCTGATTGTAGCACAACTGAATGACCACTGCTTCAAAGACCTCTTAGCTCCAGAAGCGGTATTACTGTTTTCTTACACTGCAGAGCAGGAATGCATAAGTTTTACCAGATTGTTGGTAACTATACGTAGGAGCATCTCTGCCCTGTGTTTTTTTTCAGTGGGAATATAGAATGGAAACACAGCAATGATTTTACATGAGTTTTTTGGTTCAGGTCTCACTTGATCTAAAGACCTGGTTATGCTTCTGCTCCCCATTATTGGTAATCATCTTCTCCTAGAGCACTGGAGACGTATAGGAGAGGCACTCAGGTGTTTCTGCAAGAAACATTTAACGGTTTAACGTGACTGGTGATAACTTGTAACTGTTAAGGCCGGCTGTAGCTGAGCTAATCCAAGCAAAGCCATTGAAGTGTTTTTGCTGCCGTCCTCCCCTGAACCGAAGGTCCGTGGACCATCTGGGTCAGTGTCCCATGTAACACACCCTGCTGTTTCCTTAGAGGGTGTTGACTGTTAGTGATCATAGTAAAAAATAATAGCGGAATAAGAGATTTCACAGTCAGGGTTTCCTTAGAGGGTGTTGACTGTTAGTGACCATAGTAAAAAATAATAGTGGAATAAGAGATTTCACAGTCAGATAAGGAGCTGTTAAGTGAATAACTGGTGTAGATTGAAACTGAATAGGATTAAAGTTTTGACACCCTCTGTTTGGTTCCTGTCCTTTGTCACAGGCTGCAGCTGTGTGACTTTGGGCAAATTAATTGATCTCTCTACGCTTCATTTGCTCTTCTATAAAATAAAGGGTCACAGGCTGCAGCTGTGTGACTTTGGGCTAATTAATTGATCTCTCTATGCTTCATTTGCTCTTCTATAAAATAAAGGTGTTGCATTCTGGTACCCCAACGATGTGAGATGGTGTATTCCTTTTGAGAGGACAGACTTTTAAACTTCTCATTTCAACTTTTTTACTCATCTCATGGCAAGAAATAAGACAGAAAATTAGCAGCTACAAGAGCCAGTGACAGAGAAGGAGACACAGATTTGAATGAGGATAAGAGAAAAGGAAGCTGTTAAATGCCCTGATGTGCTCTGAAAGTCAGGGGTTAATGTGTTTAATTCAAGCTTTATTATGAAGAATTTTAGACCAACACCTTCAAAACCATCAACTAACTTGGGAAGCCAAGATTTTTGGTAGCCACAATTGACCCTTATCAGATTTTTTTTTTTGAAGAAGTATTGAGGGTAAACAACTGAAAGTATGTGATTTTTCAACCAACCTGAAAATGAGATTATATTTATTTTACAATTTAAGTTTTTACTTCTAAGTGTAAAACTATGTGGTGGTTTCCCATAATTTAATATGAAAAGGTTATAATAAGCCAAACTGTGTGTTCTTATGCAATGTTAAAATTATTTTCCATAAAACTACTAAATTGTTTTAAAACTGAGTTCTGAAATTCCAGGCATTTGAAGACATTCACCTGCAGGAGAGAAAAAATGTGAAAATGCTCCTAGAGTACGCTGATAAAATATTTACCTACATCTTTTTTATGGAGATGCTTCTGAAATGGGTAGCTTATGGTTTGCACAGCTATTTCACAAATGCCTGGTGTTGGCTTGACTTCATCATTGTGTGTGTAAGTAATATGTTCAGCTTATCTTACATTCTGAATTTTGATATTTTCTATATAGAGAGCTACAGGTAAAATCTGGTTATGAATAAACACAAGTGTAAAAGACTCTTTCCAAAAGCTGAAAAAAATTGCAATTCAAAGAGACCTTAGGACAAATTTAAATGTAAATTGTAAGTAATAAACAGAAGTTGCTTAAGAAAATTTTATTAGGTATCACTGTCATTGAAGATCATGCTGGTTATAAAAACCTTACAGAATGTAGAAAGAGAATGCAATTAGTGATCAGAGATAAAACTAAAATAAATTAATTAAGACAACAGAAAAATGTGAAGCTGCTGGCAGCTCTGGCATTTAGTAACAGAAAAAAGTGAAGTTGCTTCCTTAAAGGAGAAGAAATTAAGATGGTAAAGGGAGTTGAAAGTACTGTCGGAAAAATAATTTACCAGAGAGTTAAAGATATAGGAAAGTATGTTTTTCTTTGCAACCAAAGAAATCCCAGCGACCCTTTATATAGCTATAAAAACAAATGCTGAAATCATCAATAGTGAGATGAAGGAAGTATAGTGTTCAATATATACCTATTTATTCTGAATTCAGACAAAGTTAAGTAATATAATTTTGCCACATAAAAATGAAATATTTTTGCTTGTCAACAATACACTGGGAAGATATTGAAGTTAAATATTTTAAAATAAGGACATCTAAACAGCTGCCTTCCAGTGATCTCAAAGTAGCTGTTTGATAGCCTCTGAATAGGTAGCATTGAAAGCTGTGAAGTACTAGGAAATTTCAACTGAAAAAACTAATGTTATGACTATTTACAAAGAATATATAGAATGACTTTAGCAATTAAATTCTGTAATATTAATAGCTGTGCTGTCCAAAACAGAACAAAAGAATGAAAGTATCCAATGGCTAGACAATGAGACAACAAATACAAATAGGAAGGAAGAGGTAAATCATGAACCGTGAAAAAAAAACCCAACTAATTATTGAAACAATTTTCTAATATTTTCAGTTAATTTTCTCTCCTATGAAAATTTAAAATCAAGACTGGATACCTTTTTAAAAATAATTTTTGTTTCCACATCACCATCTTAAGTTATGATAAGAAATTACTGTGTATACTTCTGAGAATAACTATGCAGAAAATGGGAATATTTTATTTGAATAATCCTTTCTGGTCTTGTAGTGTATGAAATTACCATAGTTACCAATTTGGTTGCTATACTAGCATTCCAAAAATTGTATAAACTGTTTCGGGGTGCGCGGGGAGAAATAAAAGAAAAAGAAGTGTTTCAATTTACAATGACAGTATTCCCTTATTTTCAAAGTATTAGGAAAGTATGAAGTAAAATGATATTACAGTAACTTTGAATGTGTATTTTCTTCATTTACCTCATGGGTTAAAGTTACTGTGACATTCAGCCTATGATTTTCTACTGACACAAGTAAAATCAATTTTTGTATACTTTTTAATAATCTCAGTTTTAATTCAATGAACACAGCTGTCATTTGCTTCCTGGAGACTAGATAGTGTTTCCAAAGACACATCACCTTGTTCCTCTGGGAGCGCCCTGAAATCTTTCAGGACTCTTAGAGCATTGAGGCCTCTACGAGCTTTGTCAAGATTTGAAGGGATAAAGGTAAGGATATTGGGGGTGTGTGTGCATATTTTGTAATAGCTGCATTTGAAGTTTTTGTGAAAATTACAGCTTGAATCTCTGTTATGGGACTTGATGGCATTAAGATGGTTCAGATTGCTTACTTACATCTTATGGTTGTTAATTTGAAATAATACCTAACACTTTCACGGAAATTTATAAATATAAATGAAATAAGGAAATTGAATTTTAATGTGCTACCACAAGGAATATAGTAAGGTGAACACTGGAACATTTTTCCACATTTCCAGTTTCAGTGCAATTTGCACAACAAACTAATCAAGAATTTTTTTAGACTTGTACTTTTCTGAAACCCATTTTTTGGTTTATCATAGTCATGGAAAAATTTCCTCCAGTATATTTGGCAAATTGTTCTGAAAACAATTAATATACTTGAAAAAAATAGGAACCATTTTTAATTATTTGTCAGTAGAAAAGAAACTATATATATAGTTATTACAGAAAACAAACTGTAATGTGCAGAAGAAACCTGTACTGTGAAAGCTATAGTTTATCAATCTTCATAGCATAAGAACTGTAGTGACCACAGTCCGTTCTTAGTTTTTCCTCATTGTCTGAGGCAAGAAATTGGGACCTGGAAAAATGGATTCCTTCATTCATTGCTTCAGTGGAAACTACTCACCTTTGTATCTCCTTTTCATAATTTCTGTTCTTCAGGCTGCTGTGCTTAGATCAACTCATCTTGACAGTTGTTTGGACAGGCTCACATGCTGTGTTTTGGATTCTCCAGGGTGGATCTGAAAGATAACAATAATTTCAAACTTAAATAGGGTGGGATTTTCTTAGTAGGAGAGGGGATTCTTCTAAATTTTAAAAGCTGCTTTGAGCGAACTACCTGGAATCTTTAAGATCAATGGGGAGAGGTAAAAAAGTTGTATAATGCAAATCATCTGACCGGTGTTAGTTAGATCCCAGAATGTGATGAGACACTAATTTTGGGGATGGATATGGAGCAAATCCTCCTGGAAGACATGAAGGACAAGAAGGAATCAGAAACAGCCAGCATGAGTTTAGGAAGAGCAAGTTTTGCCTCTCAAACCTGATTGTCTTCTATGACGACATGGCTGAGGGAGGAAAGAGCCATCTGTGATCCCAGATATTGGTTATATCTGGTTTGGGTAGGTGAACTATAAGCTAGGCAGAAAATTGGCTGAACTGCTAGGTTCAATATGCAGAGATCATCAGGATGAAGTTCAACTGGCAGCTGGTTACTAGTGGCTCAGAGGTCACTCCTGGGACCAATACTGCTTAATGGCTTAATTGGCAACCAGAAGAATGTGGTAGAAATTGTCCTCAGCAATTTCACAGGTGATACGAAACTGAGGGTGAGCAGTTAATACACTGAGGGCAAAGCTAGCCTGCAATGAGAGCTTGACACACTGGAGATACGGGCTGCAGAAACCTCAGGAAGTTCAGCAAAAGCAAATGCAAAGTCTTGCACCTGAGCCAGAATAACTGCACCTAACTGTGGCACACTGAGAAATGAGCAGCTTTGCAGAAAAGGACCTGGGGTGGACAGCGTATTAAACATTAGTTAGCAGAGCGACAAAGATCTACCACATGTTAGGCAGTATTAGCATGAGTCTGACCAGCGCGTTGAGATAATTCACTCTTCTATTTATGGCACCTGTGAGACTGAATCTGGAATATTGTGTCTAGTTTGGGGATTCCCACTGTAAGACAGATATTAACATACTGGAGAGTCTCCAGAAAAGTGCTACCAAGACGATCAGGGGACTGGAAGGAGAAGCTGAGAGAACGGAGCTTATTCTGTCTGGAGAACAGAAGGTTAAAGGGAGGATTTGATTGGGATTTAACTAGGTAAGGGATCTAATTGTTGTCTTTAACTATTTCATGGGAGGTTATGGAAGAAATGGAACTAATGTTTTCCGGTGGACCCAGAGTGAGAAAATAGGAGAGAATGAATTGGCAGTGAAGGATATTCCCATTAGCTACCTGGACAAAAAGATTACAGTATGGGTGTATAGCATTGCAATACATTGTCCAGAGAGGTTGTTGAATCTCCACCCTTGGAAAAATTCAGAACTTGACTAGACAAAATGCTGAGCTACTTGGTCTATGTTGGAACAGCTGATCTTCAGAGGTCCCTTCCAACATGCTTCATTTTGTGTGTTTCTAGTATACGGATATTATCCAAGGCCAGGACAAAAGGCTCAGAATTTTCTCATAATGATAGCAATGATACATTTCCAGAGAGATTCTCACTATGCCTGCCCTACTACAGAGTGGTGAAAAATGGTGAAAAGAAATAGGTAATAGTCCTCAAATTCCCAATGGTGGTAAGTGTTGTCCTGCCTGTCAGCATCAATGTGCTGAATTTGCAAATATGAGTTCTTATTGCTCCTTGTGTCACGTCCCTTGACATCAACAGCACAGACATCAAAAGCTGGAATTTTGTTTTCACTGGTACCATTTCTGGAAGAGGCTTGCTGCTCATCATGGATTTGCATTCACCTTGTCCTCAAGCAAGCCTAAAAGAAGGTAGAATGCCAACCAAAACAACTCAGTCTTCTGGAAGCTGAACTTCTCTACTTTATGTACTATGTGGAGTCAGTTGGTTGACAGTGGTTTTTGGGTGAGGTTCATTTCATTATGGAGAGCAAGATGTTCTCTTACAAACCCCATCTAAGACAAAAGAGAGGTTTATTTATGAAATTGTAGTAAATGCAGATCATAGAACCCATTCCCCTGTTCCTGATTTTTAGAGCCCATAACTACTTCGGACTCATAACCTTATGTATTTCTTTTACCCAAAGATAATTCTGGTTGCCATCTGTTTTACTTCTTTCCTCAAAAAGGTAAGATAGATACCACAGAATTACATGTTAAGACAAGCTTAAAGTTAAGCTGAAGGCTGGCTTTACATTTGTCATCTACTAGTTTTTATATGGGTGAGAATCTGCAATAGATCTAGAAGAAGAAAAAATAAGTGTTTTCCTGGGAAGATGTTCTATTGAATGTGACTAATTCATTCTTTTCATTCATTTTATTTATTTAAGGTTGTTGTAAATGCACTTTTGGGAGCTATCCCCTCAATCTTCAATGTTTTGCTCGTCTGTGTTGTCTTCTGGCTCCTGTTTAACATTGCAGGAGTAAAATTACTTGGAAAAAAATTTTCAAAATGCATACTCGAGAAAGGAAATATCAGTATAATTGAGAACAAATATAATTGTACATCCTACAATGGAACGTGGACAAATAATGATGTAAACTTTGATAATGTTGGGATGGGATACTTGGCTCTTCTCCAGGTGGTAAGTTCTATAAAAGCATGATCAGTTTTGTTTTCAAGGAAATGTGTTGAGCGGGCCAACCATGAGACACCACTATGCTCCTGTTTATCTCACTGAAATTGGGGATATTTTTGGTACGCCATAAATAAATATTGTTCTTATCTATAAGCTGCTCAATTCCTCCTAAAGAACACTTTAGCATGTGCAACCTTGTGTTAAAATCAAGCAGTGTGTTTTATAGCTTTTCAATCTTGTTTTAATTTTAATTAACGTACTAAGCCTGAAATAGTCTGCATGTTAGTGGATTTAAAGCTCATCTCATTTTCTTTAGCAAAAGTTAGTTCAGAGTGGATGAGAAGGAAAAAACATGATACAGTTTATTTATATTTCTATATTTCCTTTTATTGTGTAAGTCATGAAGTATTGCGATGCTAATTTATTGATCTCCTTAATAGCACAACAAAGGACAGAAAGGCATTTTTAAAAGTGGCTGTTATCCCTGTATCTTTTCTAGATGAAGTTCTTTGGCCTGCATCCTCCAAAGTGTTCTATGATTCTGCAGAGTTGCTTAAAATTGCAAGAATGACTTGTCTGCTGTTTTCTTAGAAATTGTTGTTATCCTTTTAGGATATATTTGCTAGTTAAGCTGAAACTTTTACTGCTTTTTCAAAAAGCAGACAATTTACACAAATTTCAATTTAACAAGAGTTAACATTAAAACACATTTCACAGGATTCATGGCAATTTTTTATTTCTTTTCAGGAAATAGATTTTTTTCTCTGTACTAAAATCCAATGAATCATACTTCCAAGCATATCTTTAGAAGTGATGCACATTTTTTTTGTGGCACAGTTTTTCACAATTCTCAACTCATTTATAGTAGCTTTACCTATTTTTTTTTTTAAGTTACAATAACCTTAATAATGCATTTTTTTCAGGCAACTTTTAAAGGTTGGATGGATATTATGTATGCAGCAGTGGATTCGAGAGAGGTACATCCCTAAAGTGAAATTTTACTTCTTTTCCCATTTTTTTTTCCTTTTATATCCATATAATTAATTTTTCATCTTTACTTGAAGTATCAAGTCAGAAATACAAGCAAATGAATGCATCAAACGACACAGTGAAACAATAATCCCTGGAGTACCAGATATCTGGAACTTCGGAGAAAACTGGTCAAAATAGAGTGACATCTCACAAAAACCTACTATATCAAGAATGCAGAGGGCAAGATGTTGCAAGTTTTGGACAAGGCTGTTTTGGGAATAGAGTTCAGAAGGTCTTGGAGGGGCTGTGTCTCCACTGCAAATTTCCTACTTTTTTAAATGTGCAGAAGGTCTTGGAGGGGCTGTGTCTCCACCACAAATTTCCTACTTTTTTAAATGTATACAGTAGCCTTAAAATGGCATGCATCTTTAACAGTTATTTCTGGAAGTTTTCTTCCCCATATTTGACATCCTTACTATTTCTTCCCCATTTCCATGTGCTATTCCTCACTCTCTCACTAGTACAGTGTGTTTTAACTTTTCTATGTTTATTTAATTTGCATTTTCCTTATTCATTCAAACACTGTGCTCTTGAATGTAGTGAAACAACTGCTAATTAAAAAGATCATTCCTTGTAGACCTGATTTTAGTGAACTGGCTTTTTAAAACTGCTTCTTGTCTGGGGTAGCATTCAAGGGTATGGTAGTTCAGCATTGTGTTTAGTCTGAGCTGTTTTTCTAATCTGGGCATTCACAGTATCACTTCTGATTGGAACTGTTTATCTGTTACTTAAGAATTTGCTAGACCTGAATTTGACTGTGTATCTTCGTAATTATCTTTACAAACAGTAACAAGACAGAACAAGACAGTTGTTCTACTTGTACATGTAGATAAAAGTTTAAATGTGTAGAAATAATATATCCCTCCTGACAATAAAAAGGTTTGTTATTATAAATTGGAAATGATAAAGTTGTGATTATCTGATTTTTACCAATATTATTTTTCTGGTTTGATTTTTTTTTAACAGATAGATGAACAGCCAAAGTTTGAAGCATTCTTAGCCATGTATATGTATTTTGTGATTTTCATTATTTTTGGATCTTTCTTCATGTTGAACCTTTTCATTGGAGTGGTTATCAGCAATTTTAACCAACAAAGGAAAAAGATAAGTACTACATGAGCTAATTCAGGGTCTTTTGTAATCCCAATTTGATTAACTGAATGCTAGTTTGACATCTACATGTCTAACATTTTCAGATAACTATTTGACTGGAGAAATTAAAAAAAAAAATTAGATACCAAGTTTTGAAAATAGGAGTCTTCTTTTCCTCAAAGATTTTAGTAATTTACCTGTAAATTCTATTTTCATGCCAAGTCCTTAATTTGCTCTAAGTAGGAGGATGAGGAGGAAATAGTGAGTAGTTTTAGAAAAGAGAAGCCAAAAAAGTTATATAGACTTTGCTACAGGAGTGTGAAATTCCTTTCTTCTGCTTTGAAGATTTACAGTGGAAAACAGAATAACCCTTTTTGCTGAGAGTGAACACCTAACATGCGATAAGGATAACCAAGAAACAGTACTGCTTACGGAAGAAGTAACCATTGCTTTCCTGGTAAAACACTTGAAAAGATTTTGTTAATCAGAACTTCGTCTAAAACTAGCTGCATTTAAAAAATCCTGTTGTCAATAAAGTAACTCTACAGATTAACTTACTGGAGTTTTAAAAATTTTCTGCATTGAGATCCAAGCCTTGGCCCCAGGAAGAGACTGTCTGGAAATGTAAAGACTTCTTAAAGCCCAGGAAGCACTGACTGCTTCTGCTTTTCTTCTTATAGGTGTTAGATTCCCTGTTCTTTTTAGTCAGTAAGAAATGGAAGGCAAAATCTTAGAATGGAAAAATGCAACAACCAAAGAAAAACAGCAGCCAGCCTTCCCTGATATAATTCAGCTTCTTTGTGCCAAGCTTATTTGCCAATTGAGTTCTCTCCCTGATTCATTTAGGGGCTTCAAGTATCCAGAATATCAAGGGAAATTGAATCAATTAATCCACTTGGAAGTCTTAAAACAAATAAACACCTTACTCATTAAAAGAACACCACAAGAGGAGACTCCAACAGCAGGTTTACAATTTCAAGTTTGACATTTGGAAGACAGAATGTCTACAGGAGCCTTTCATTATTTCTATAGGCTGACTTACACGCCAAGTGTCAAAGAACTACAACCCTTGGTGGAGATAGATATCAATAAGGCCCACAAGAAATTATTCTGCTCTCTGCATTTGAACAAAGAAAGGATATGTAGGGGTTGAGGAACAACAGTCCAACTTCACTATAATACTTTCCTTTTATAACAAAGTCCCAGTTATAATAATTCCAACAGACAGAAACAACACTGGCTAAGTAGCTTATGAGCCTGAACACTTACTAAAAGTTGATGTGGACGTAACACTTTTTTCTTTTCTCAGTACATACTGTAAGTGGGCATTTTTTTCTTTTTAATTTCCTTGCTGCTTCTTGGGGATTTTCATTGAGATTCCATATAGTGAAGTTAAACTGACTTTTCAGAGGTCTTGCCAGAGTGATTCAAAATGCAGATCCTCTGCTGAACATTGTTACATGTTTGTTTTACAAAGTGCTAGTCATTCAATGCTTTTATGACGGGTGGCTTCTCCTGAATACTAGGTTCAAAGTGATTGCTAAGTAATACAGGTGGCGTAGATAGTAATGAGGTGAGCACCAGAAATTCATTATCAGGACCCCCTCGTAGAACTTGATCCCAAAGTGCTTATTCATAGTCCTCCATTTACTTGCTAGCCCAGCAATATGCTTCTGTTCCTGCCTTTCCCAAAAATATAAATGGAAAGTATTTTACTTGTTGATGAGTCCTATGTGATTTTAAAAATATGAAATATATTTGTAAAACTTCGGAAAGGCTCTCACAGTTGAGGAAACTGACTCAGGAACAAAGCCTAGACTAGATTTTCACAATCAAACCCTGATCAGCTTTTTGCAGTACATCTTTTCAAAGATCAAGAAGAAAAGGAAAAATGGTGAAGACGCATTTTGTCTCTGTGCTGTCTTAGATCCCACTCATGACAGCTGTAACTTACTTTTACGTAAACTTTCTGGTGTTTATTTAGTCAACTGCTTAAACTTCAGCAGAACAACAGTATTCTTCCCTTTACTTAGGTGGAAAAGATCTATTTTTGACTGAGGAACAGAAAAAGTACTACAATGCCCTAAAAAAACTTGGATCCAAGAAACCTCAAAAACCCATCCCAAGACCAATGGTGAGACTATTTTAAGTAGAACATGATAGAAGATGTAAGGATGTTGGCCATATTTAAAATTGACCTCTTCTCCCAGGCAACTAGTGGCAGGACAAGAGGGCATAGTCTGCAACTGCAACAGGGGAAGTTAAGACTAGAAATGAGGAGGCATTTCTTCACAGAAAGAGTGGTTAGGCATTGGAATGGACTGCCCAGGGAGGTGATGGAGTCACCATCCCTGGAGGTGTTTAAGAAAAGACTGGACGTGGCACATTGTGCCATGATCTGGTTGACATGGTGGTGTTGGGGTAAAGGTTGGACTCAACGATCCCAGAGGTCTCTTCCAACCAAACCAACCCTGTGATTCTGTGATTCTGTTTCTTAAATATAATTCCAGGCCTGACTTCACATAGTAACTATTCAGAGTTTTTCTTGCTTAAGACATTTTAATTAGAATATCTGGTTCCATAAGTATTTCTTTTAAAAGAACAATCACAAGGTACTCTGAATCTTTTCCTGCTGTATAATTTTTTCCAGGGAAATATGGCTGCATGATACCTGAAAATACTTAGCCAACTACTGAGTGTTTTCTTTGAAGATCTAAAGAAATCACCTAAAAGTGCTTCTAGTAGCTTATTGTTAAATTTATATTCTCTTAAGTTCTCTTTCTAAGCACAAGTTACTGATAAATATATGAATGTAGCCTGGGTCTTAGAAGGAACATTAAGCAGTTGTTCTTGTTCTCTCCACAGAATATGTTCCAAGGATTACTGTTTGATATAGTATCGCACAAAGCATTTGACATTACCATTGTGACTTTCATCTGTCTAAATATGGTCATTATGATGGCAGAAAATAGCCAGAATGGCATCAAGGACGTTCTTAATAAAATCAACTTTGTTTTTGTGGCCATATTTACTGGGGAATGTGTCATAAAAATACTAGCTTTAAGACATTACTTCTTCACCAGTGGCTGGAACATATTTGATTTAGCTGTTGTGGTCCTTTCACTAGTTAGTAAGTATCAATCGTTATTAGATCAGGTAATGTGTCTTACCAATACTAAGCCAAATTTCAATATGAGGTAACTACTTACATATACCTGATAGACAAATTCCAGATCCATTGTACTTTTTCAAACCATATGCTAAATGATTCCTTCTAAAATATATCTTTTGTTTTCCCTTATATTTTTGCAGAGTACTAAAAGGTAAATGGATAGTTTTAAATTTTTTTTTTCAAGTGTGAGTTTTATTGAGTAATTAACAGAATAGGAATTTAATGCAGTAACATCTTTTCTAAGTTATTATACTTAAACTGTTGTCTTAATGTTTTTATGCTTTTGATTTAGATGTAATCATGTTAACTGTTGTTTTCACAGTAAAAGTAAATTCAGGTTAAAAATACATTTGTATGAAAAATGGGAAAGATTTATTTCATTTTGCAGGACTTTTAAGAAGGCAGATCCTGAGGGCTGATTTAGAACGCTCAGGAAAATTTATTTGCTCAGAGCCATTCTAAATCTGGGCAACTGTTTGTGACTGTGAAAAGTCTTATTAAAATTGACTTGGTTTTCTTTTGTTTTTCAAATAAGACTAGATGCTTATTGTTTCATCTACAAAGGGTCATATATAACTTTAGTTTCTTGTACAGTTTATTTGGTCTGTGCTTCCTACTTGGCTTCAGGTTATATCAGAGAATAAAGGATGAGAAAGAAAAACTATTCAGAGTTCTCTGCTTCATCCCTAGGCACAGTACCTCTTTGCTATACCATGTAACCCAGAAAAATCCTGACTTCTTAAAGTCTTCTGTGTGTAATAATTTACATTACTACTGTATCATTACTCTGATAGTAGGATCACAGAATGAAGTATAAAGAAGGATGAATGCTGAAAGACAGTTTTCTTTTATTTTCTTCTTGCTCTTCTCTGATCTCATTCAAGTAGCAAGTATTAATGAAAGTCTCACATTTAGCATGTGGCTTAGGTCTGTAGAAAAAGCAGCTAGGAGATAAGCCTCATAGCTTCCAGCACAGGAGCTAAATGGATTTAAAAGGATTTTTTAAGTACTTGAGTAATGCATAATTTAATCCCCTGAATTAGAGAAATCTAGGAGAATGCAGTTATATATATGATCTTGATATCTATTTAATATTTAAAGGTATTACAATTTATCTTTCTTTTCCTAAGCTCTTTTGTAAGCAATTATTGTATTGATAAAGTTTTTGTTGAAAGTGTTGTAATATGATCAGTGTTTCTTTCAACACCTAAAGTATAGAATGTAACAAAATGCACATAAATAGGGAATTTCACTGGTATGGCTTGACAACATTTTATTTTCTTTTTCATTCCAAAGGTATTGGACTTTCTGAAGGCTTTCGAACTTTGTTCTCTCCTACACTTTTGAGAATTTTTCGTTTGGCACGAATTGGCCGAATCCTGAGATTAGTTCGAAAAGCTAGAGGAATTCGAACTCTTCTTTTTGCATTACTGATGTCTCTTCCTGCACTGTTCAACATCGGTCTTTTGCTTTTTCTGGTTATGTTCATTTATGCCATTGTGGGTATGACAAACTTTGCCTGTCTTGGCTGGGAAGGTGGGATTGATAACCTTTTCAACTTTCAAACCTTTGATAGTAGCATTCTCTGCCTCTTCCAAATTACAACATCAGCTGGCTGGGATGGTCTTTTGGTCCCTCTGTTAAAAAGATCTGATTCATGTGCTCCCAACTTAAATTTAACAAGTGAACAGAAAAAAAATTGCTCAAATAAGGAGGTTGGTATTTTATTTTTTGTAAGCTATGTCATTATATCATTTCTCATTGTTGTAAATATGTACATAGCTGTCATTTTAGAGAACTTCAGTGTTGCCACTGAAGAAAGCACAGATCCTCTTTGTGAGGATGACTTTGATATGTTTTATGAGACCTGGGGAAAATTTGATCCTCAGGCAACACAGTTTATTGAATATTCTGCTCTTTCAGACTTTGCAGATGCTCTGGCAGAACCCTTACGTGTTCCAAAGCCTAATAAAATTCAACTCATATCCATGGACCTCCCTATAGTCAGTGGAGATAAGATCCACTGCTTGGATATCTTGCTTGCTTTCACTAAAAGGGTCTTGGGAGAATCTGGAGATATGGATAGTCTTGAATTACACATGGAAGAAAAATTTATGGCTGCCAATCCATCTAAAGTTTCTTACAAGCCAATTACTACTACCCTCAAAAGAAAACAAGAGGAGGTATCGGCTCTAATTATTCAAAGAGCCTTCAGGAGGTATTTGATGCAGCGTTCTTTTAAAAAGAGAACTTTCTTACACCGTCATAAACACTGTAACAGTGCTGTCTTTGAAGAAGAAACACATGAGGAGGAAAGTCTTATTGCATCAATACTTAATGAAAATAATTGTAGGAAGCTAGATAAATCATGGACTACATCTTCCATATCTCTCCCTTTATTTTATGATGGTGTTGCTGAAACAGATAGCGATAATGTGGAGACATAAGGTTGCCCCAGGCTGCAGCATTTTTGATTAAAGCAATATGCCAGTTATTTTCAGATGGAGAAAATATTTTGATCCCAGAGCATAATACTCTAAATTTAGAATAATGATAGCAGCCTTTAAGTATTGTGATTAGTCATTTTGCAAATGCTCCTTATAACAATTAGGATTTGAACAACTGTATCATAAATATTAGAGGAAAATCAAACCATGGAATTTTTTTTCCTCAGCTACTGGTGTAGGTGAGTTAATTTTTACCCCTGACATTTTGTGTATTACTTCATATTTCTGTGTTTACAGAAGAAATCCATAAAAGATCAGTTGTAACTGTAATATGATTTATAAGCACACAAGGCTGTAGAACAATGTATATCTCTTTAGAGATAAAGCCTGGTTTGAAAAATTGCTTATTGTAGCAAAATTAAATAATTACTGCATTTTCTGTAAAAAATCTCACTCAAGACACTTGAGTATAATCAGCCACTAATTTTTATGTTGTTCGGGACCATCTTCCTCCTAGTGCCTTTGGATGGATTGGTTATGCATAAGAATTTTTGAGGTGTATTTACATATGCACCTAAATGGATTAAACATAGCATCCTCAGTTGTCTGTGCTTGAAAGTTGTATATAATTTGTTCTTTATGTCATTCAGTGTACGAAAATTGTGATAATAGTTACCAAAATAGAAGGATGTTATGCAAGAGTTATATCCAGAAAATCTTAAGGATTATTGTACATAAAATTTCATCATTATACTTCATCCAAATGTAACAGAAAGTATTACTTAGTAATCTGAAAAGGAGTTCATGACGTATCTTATGGGACCATATTTATTAAAGTTAACGGAATTATTTATTTCACTGGTTCTGGAAAAAAACATGTATGAACAATGTGTGTTAATAGTACATTTACTGTTTTTTTGCAGTTCAGGTTGGTCAGGTGAACTGTCTTGGTGGCCTCAGAACTACTAATGAAATAAAACTATTTTAGATTCTTCAATAAAAAGTTCAGATGTTTAACATGTTTTTGTCTGTTTTGTATTGAGGTATCTTTCAGTTTCAGTTTATTACAAGACATAATCTGTTATTAGAGGGGTAGAACCACAGTAATATAATTTTCAAAAAATATCTACCTATTAGCACAAGAAAACTGAAAATGTTTTAGTTTTTACAGGGAATCAGAAAGATTTAGCATTTTCAGGCCAAGAATAACAGGAACAATAAGGTAATTACTCAATTTTTACTGTTAATTCCCTTGCTAAATACTGTTAAAATATGACAGATATAGTCAAATCTAAGCTATTTGTAGAACAAATAAAGGCATATGAAAGCTGAGAGTTAAAGAGTTCAGATGTGTACGGTTTGAACTAGCTTTATTAGTTCCAGAACCAACTGGAAGCTCAGAAACTGTTGACAAAGAAGGTCTGCAGGCCTCTTAGGATAACTCCGAAATCCGCACTCAGCGTCAGCAGCACTGGGCAGCGGGATGCAGAGATACTTGGTGGGTGTGCTGGAGACTTGCTTCTGTCCAGCTTGGGTTGCCTTTGTGCCTGCAGTGCATAGTGATGCTTTTGAGGTGAAACTATTTATTCTGTTCGGTGTGAGCTGGAATGAGCCGAGAGCCTTGGTTCAACGATCAGATACCTTTAGATGGCAGCATTTACAGCGTTTTAGAATGTGGCCAGTCTTAAATGAAACCCGTGTCGAACTTGGTACACTTCAGCATGGAGGTGTTAAATTAATTCTAAATAACTTAGAAAAAAATGTCGTAACTCTTTTTTTTCCTATCCTGGGCTCTCAAACTAGCCACAGTTCTCAGTAGGTGCTTGTTTACTGACTCTTCTGTTTTTTGCATATGACAGATTGACAGACCTTAATTATTGGGAAAAAAAAACACGTTCTCCTGTGTGCTTGGATATTCCAGAGGGGTAGTTTCAAGCATATCTCTATAACACCGTAGCAGGAAACGTTTGCTAGGAAGAGGTAAGAGTGCTTTGTTCTTGCATATTGGAAAAGAAGGAAAGACTAGAGAAGCTGTATGAGAGAATTTTAAACACTAATAATAGGTAAAAAAATGCCAATATTTTAAAAAAATTAATCTGAGCTTTATAATTTTAAATTATGTTGTTTTAGTGCAACAGCAGGTGCTGTGGCCTGGTCCATATATAGAAATACTTCAAAGGCGAACACTTTATTTCCATCGTAAGGGCAGCGATTTTGGACAAAATCACACCTGGCATGAACACATCTTTAGTGATTCCCTCAGAAACACACAAAAGCACCTGAATTCACCACAGTGCAAGTTTAAAAGTCTGACCAGTTTTTTAATATTGCTTAAGCATTAAAATAGCCTTAACACACTATTGCAGGATTGAAAGGAGAGTGGTGATATCCAGCTGTTGCAGGTTCTTCATGCTAGGATTGCCCAAAAGCCATTTCAGCTGCTGAGGCAACATAGAGTTTCTTTTAGAAGACTCTATATGGTGATGAGTTAATAGCAGCGAACAGGTGGGAGTTTTTGACAATTCTGGTATCTGGAACTGTGAATTCCTCCAGGCAAAACTGCCTGGACATATGTGAACTTCATGAGAAGTGGTCAGGCATGCTTGGAACGCAGTGAAAGAATATTCCTTTCTGTTTATGAAGTTTGACACTTAAATCAGAGAACAGCAAAAACAGAGGAATATTGGATCCTTCTGGTTAGGAAACACTGTACATGTAAAGCTGATGAATTTCTGAGGACCAGCAATATAATACCTAGCAACATTGCCTCCTCCGTGGTGGTGCAGAACTCCATTATTACATTTTCATTTATCAGTTTGCTGTGTAGAAACAGTTAGCAACTGACTGCTGGTAATTAAGAGTTTTCTCCTACTTTTGCAATAGCCTTGTATCTCTGAGGATAGGCTCCATACGAGTTTTGTGGAAACTGTCCTTTTACTTTCTGGAGCTCTTCAGTTTCTGCTAGCCCTTCAATGTTTGCACTATCCATAGTGTTTTTTCTAAGACTCAAAGAGGCCCCATATGTAGTTTAGTTATTTGAAAAGAAATGTACCACAAAGAGAATCTCATCATGGCATCTTTTCCCTGAACCTACCAAAGGTTATTGTGCTTCACAAGTGTGTGTGAAGTCACTTTCCAAGGCTATCAGTGAGGTAGACATTCTGTCCCAACTTGAGAAATCCTCGCAACTTACGTCATGCAAGAAGACACACCGAAATGCACTGTTCTAACTCACATTTAGAGTGAAAGTTCCCGTAAGAATAGCACACCCAACAACTGTAGCAGCTTTAGGCAGAGGTCAGGATTATTACTAGAAGTGATGGAGGTCTATCATACTATGCTGAAACTGAGTAGGACAAATTTTTCAATATTTATGAAAAAAGTTACAAAGATGAGGGGATTGTGTTTAAATACTATTGTTAACTACCAATAGCTAATATGAAGTGTGACTTAGACTTGCTTCAGCAGACTTTACAGGCTTACTTTCTGAAGTCTTTCTGTCTCACCTGCCAAAGAAAGGTTCTACCAATTGCTTCACAGAGATGAACAATAAACCAGGCCTGGCACATGCAGAGCTGCCCATCTCTTCTGTTCCTCAGAACATGGACAGCCTTCAGTATGAACACCCTAGACCCTATCCCAGAGTGTCTGCTGATCAGTAACATCCATTCCAGCTTTCGGTCCCCTTCTGCTTTGGAGTTGCCTTGGAGATACCTTGGAGAACTGAACAGATATATTGTAGTTACTGAGACCTAATACAGCAAGCACATTGCTGTCCTGGCAGGTAGGATCACCATGTTTTGAGCAGGTCTCACTCGAGTGAGCCTTCTCCATGGTTTCCCAACCTTCTTCCTTTTTACTGTTTAACATTAGCTTAATGTACCATCTGCTAAGTCTGTGTGGTGGAAGCCCATGCAACAACTGCCTGTGCAAGCCAAAACTTCGGTGCATGTTACCTATCTTGGCTCTTACATGTAGATAATGGTGTGGGAGGAAGAACTATCTGCATTTCTGCATTCTCTCCCTTCTCCTTTCTTCTCATATGTGAACAAATTGGATGGTTTCTTGAGTTATTCCTAGATTTGGATAACTCTTTTCAGTTTTAGTAGTTTAACAGTTGCTGAATTCACAAATTCATAGTTATTAATACTTTTTAGTAGCATTGTAAAAACAGTCGTTGCCCAGCTTGCATTTCATCAACACCAAGAATGATGCAGAAACATGACAGGAAATTAAGAATGGAATATCAGTAATTGCATTAGCCAATTCAGTTGTCACGGTATTTCATCACAGATGCAAGATAAAGGCAAGAAAACTCCACAGATCATGATGACTAACCAAATAACAGCATAACAATCCTTCCTCTTTGGTATCCCTAAATGTCATCAATTTCTAGCAAGAGGAGGATAGGCTGAAATGAGAGATTAGAAGAACAAAAAATGATACAACTAAAAGGTCAGATTGATTGTTTGGAAGCAGCTGGTACAAAAGAAACATTGAACAGGAAATAGTAGTTTAGAGATAGAGAATGGAAATGGCTGGGGAGAAGACATGAACTTCAGATGAGAAAGGACTATCTGATATGTGGAATACACACATCAGGAATCACCGGCAATCACGTATTGCCTGCTAAAACTAGGAAGATGAAAAAAAGCATCCATAATGCTTTCCCCGCCCGCGTAACAAACAGAAGATTTTAGTTCCAGAAATGAAAACTATATCATGAAAAAAGACTCCACCAGTATCTTAGAAGTCTATATTCCTAAGAAATACAAAAGCAGTTCCTAGCAAATTGCTTGATTGATCTACACTGGAAGGCAAAATATCCAATATTTCTGATACTTTGAACAGAAGGAAAATTCTTACTTCATCCTCAATCTGGCAACAAAATAGTCTAAGTTTTGCTTTAAGTGACCATATATTGTCCCAGTCTGTCTCAGGTTTTAGTAATTCAACCACAGCTTTCCAGTAGTGTACTACCAAGTCATAGTGGTAAATAA